CATATCTTACTTAGTTTTTGAGAAAGAGCACTCAATTTTATTTCCTTGGATCACACAAGGAATATGGGTAAAATTTTATTTTGGAAGGTATTTTTTGTATAATTCTTTATTACTAGTTGTGTTAGTGTTATTTAGTATTTGTTGTTGTTACATAACACACCTAAGATGTCAAAATTTCATTTTAAAACTCATGATATGATATGAAGAAAAACATTCCCCATTAGCATCACTTAGGGACCTGTACCATCGGGACCCCATAGGAACTTGTGGCATTATTTTTTTCATGTCCCATATGCATACAAGATATTGACATTTTATTCTGGGACACCCTGTGGAAGCTTCTCGTGACATGAGACATCCTGCAGAAGCTTTAGTGGCACTGTTTCGGTGGTAATATGTTTTAAAACCCCTCCCTTATGTTTATCTAACAACTTGGAAACGAGTTCAAAATGCAATCGTTCAAGATTAAATCCAAAAGTTGACGAGCAGACATTCTAAACGTATTTTGTCCATTTTTCAGATTTTGAGATATTGATGGCGTTGCAATCCATTTTGCCCGTTTAACAATTTCCATAACACAGACAATATAACTCCCTATTAAAGCATAGCATTATACTGAACATAAGGATCTGGCCAGTTGGTCATCGACCAGTGCCAATAACAGAACAAACAAAAAAAAAATAATTTGTTCCACTTCAATCTAACATTCAATAAAACCTAGACAAACTAAGTGTATTTTGTCCAAAGCCGGGAGACAAACTAATCATATCTTCGAGAACAAAAGGCTGTTTCTTCGTCTTTACGGTATGTTCACCTTCATTTTAAAATCAGTCTGCTTGTATTCGCGAAAGGTTAGCATTGCGTTGTTGTTGGCGAACTATTGAAATACTTTTGAATTATATACCTCAGTAAAAATGAACGATGCAGAGCATCTTGTGGGTGATGTAGACAGAGGTACCAGAAACATAACCAATAAACAACGTCGAACAGAGATAAGGTAATTAAAAAAATATATTTCAGCGTGGTGAGATACATAGTTTTTTTTGTCATTAGGTATGCGGATCCTGATCTAGAATTACTAAATTTTGATCTGAAGTGCCAACATAAGACCGAAAAATTTAAATGCAAGGAACTATCGTTGTATGATGTAAAATCTTTAAAACATAATTTATACTCAGAGAAATGATGGAAGTTACAAAGAGGACAAGAAGCAGAAAAAATGGGAATTCTCATGATTTTCACATAGAACATTATGTAAGTGTAATTTTGTTAGGTGTGAAATAAGAACAAAAATTATTTTTGTCTATTTTTTTTCTGTGGACAAACGAGGTTTCATAACATTGCGAAGAAAAAATTGGCGGGAACGGACATTAAAGACAGGCGTGGTGGAGATATTCGTTCAAAAAATACGCTTCAAAGCTGGAAAATGTTACAAAATTTATTGCATCACTAAAGGGACAAGAAAGTCACTATAATAGAAGTAAACCTAGAAGGATTTACCTGTCAGCCGAACTTAACATAAAAAAGTTTTGGAATTTGTACAATACTCAAGTTAAAGACAACTTGCAACAAGTAAACTATAAATACTTCAGCAGAGTCTTTAATAACAAGTTTAATGTAGGTAAGATTAAATAAAAAGCTAACAGTTCTTGTTGTGACAAAAGTTCATGTTTTTAGCTTTTGGAACTCCACCTACAGTATGCGGATTCTGTATAAGAACCAAAACAGAAATTGAAAATTGCAAAGCAGCATCGAAAAAATCAAAGCTAAAAACTGATTCGTTGCTCCACCAGACTCGCGCTAAGCATTTTTTTGAACCAATGAAGGAGGAACCTAGTAATACTGCTACATATTGCTTTGATCTACAACAAGTCCAGGTTCTACCTAAAGCACCAATCCAAGAAGCATTCTATGCGCAACAGCTCTCTTTCTATGCGTTTTGTATTACTGACATTTTCATGAAAAATCCCGTTTTTTATACTTGGCTAGAACATGAAGCTGGTAGAGGAGTAACAGAAATAAGTTCTGCTTTAACTGATTTTCTGAGCAAGGTAATATTTGATCCAGAAATTACAGAACTAAGATTATTTTGTGACGGCTTCGGCGGACAAAATAAAAATTCCCATTTGGTAAACGTCGTAATGTTGTGGCTTCTTAATGACGCCCCGAAAAGTTTAAAAACAATTACATGTACATTCCCGGTACGTGGTCGTTTCATTTATGGCCGCAGATAGAGTATTCGGTCAAATTGAGCTGGAATTACGTGCCCATACTTTTATGAAAACTCCGGAAAAGTATTACGAAATGTATGCCAAAAAGGGGCATGCTAGAAAACTCGGTATTGACTGGGAACTGTTAGATATAAAAAAGGCATTACAGTGGCTGAAAAAGATACCAGGCATAAGTGAAACCAAAAGAATAAAAATCATCAGAAAGCCGCAATCGGGAGAAGACAAAATTCTGGTTAAAACGGAGACACTATACAGAACGACGATGCAACTAAGCAGTTTCCAAGCTTACTTAAAGCAAAGGAAAAGCTGAGTCAAGTACCACTTCATCATGAAATTAAAACGAAAAAAAAAATGACAGTCTCACTAAATTTCTGATCAGTTTATCCGGAAGTAATTGGGTGGAAGATCCAGAGTTAAAATGGCTGGACCCAGTTCTGAGAAACCAGTCTCAGCACAAACCTAATGACGAGGATATCAACTGCGACGAATATTAAGGGGAAGAAGAATGTTGCTGCCTAGAGGAAGAGACTATTAATATACTAAGTGACATATAAATCCGAACACCCAGTTTAAATGGTTTTACTTTAATAAAATTTTGTATAAGTACTTAATGAAGCATAATAAGTAAATGATAAAAATTTCAAAATGATTGCACTGCTTTAAAGCCCTTTGACCTTTAATAATGTGTGGATGCACCCTGATGTGCTACGCATTCTCCAACGCACCCAGGCATGCTTCTGATCAGGTGGTCAATGTCCTCCTGTGGTATCTCATTCCAGGCAACCACCAGTTCCTCCCGAAGTGCTTCTAGAGTCTGAGGAGGACGTTGCAAATTGAGCAATCTCCTACCCATCATATCCCACACGTGCTCAATTGGGGATAAGTCGGGAGATCTTGGTGGCCATGGTAACAATGTGACATAATTATGTTGAAAGAAGTCTATTGTGACTCTTGCAACATGTGGTCGGGCATTATCTTGTTGGAAAGTTGGATCTGCCAGGGTGTCACGATAGGGTAAAAGATGGGGTTCTAGAACTTCGTGGATTTGACGCTGCGCGTTCGTGTTACCTCTGATGAAGATTAAAGATGACCTGGAACCATAAGCTATAGCACCCCAAACCATAACTCCTACAGTGTGATGAACATGTCTTTCAACAAAAAACTGTGGATTCCTCCTTTCACCACGTCGCCTTCTAACCCTGGCACGACCATCGTGCATGCCTAAACAAAATCAAGACTCGTCACTAAAGACAATACTGTTCCAATCCTGATCCCAGAGTGACAGTTGTCTGCACCACTCAAGGCGATTACGTCGGTGTTCTCGAGTTAAAGGGAGGACCCAGTGTGGCCGGTATGAAAACAAGCTAAAACTTTTCATTCGTCGGTAAACACTTCGCATGCCAATAGGTCTTCCGTGTTCTGCAAACCATTCATTTGCAATGGACCTGGTAATGGAGAAACGGTCCCTTAAGGCCAATGATCTTAGGCGGCGATCTTCACGGTCTGTTGTTCTACGGCGGCGTCCAGTGCCCCTTGCTCTTTGCGTACGGCCTTCTCGAATCCATGCCTGACAACACCTAACCACAGTGTCTACACTTCTTTGCACTCTAACTGCAATTGCCCGAAAAGGAAGTCCAGCTTCCCGAAGTCCCACTATACGGCCCCTATCAAACTCACTAAGTTGACGAAATCGTACAGGTCTCCGTACTCTAGGCATCGTAACCGATCGTAAAGGATGTCAAGAACCAAAATCCGCCAACGTTGATTCTTTACTGCGGCTGAAATATTCATTTCTAGAGCGTTAGTGAATTAAAAAAAAGCAGTATAAAAACCGGAATGTCCAACTGATAAGGCTGAAAATTTTTTCACTTGTTATTTACAGTAAGATAAATACATTCACCAACTTTTCTTAAAATAAAACCATTTAAACTGGGTGTTCGGATTTATATGTCACTTAGTATATCTTATAAATTGGTTATGTCTAATTTGAGAAATAATTTCTTTATGTTTTGTCATTTGTTGACCTACAAACTGTAGTTTGTCCGATGAAGACAATCTATGTATAGTTTGTCCTTTAGTTTTTTGTTTTTTTTTGCTCACATTTTTTATTATTCTTGAGTGGAATACACAAATATCTGAATGAATATATTTTTTATCATATTTTCACAATCTGAACTTTTAATTATTTTAAGTCATTAACAGATGAAAAAAATTAAAAATGGACAAAATTCGATTAGAAAGTCTACTCCTCAGTTATCGTTGCAGATGGCTACCAAGGTGAAAGTTATTGTACATGTGGTCCTTTTGAAATCTATTTTCATAAGTAGTATCATAAGGGCATCTAATTTTGCCGAAGAAAATCGAAAAAACACGTTGCCAAGTAATTATTTTTGCACCTGCACGAATATTTTTTTGTCAAAAAACATTGCTTAGCATGGTGTTTGTTCGATTTGATTTCCTGCATACACATAGCTTTCAAAATTTATTGAGAAAAAATTGTTTAGCGTCGGTTTCTGGTGTTCTAGGAGACGTGTTATCAAAGGTGTTTTTGGTGACAACAGCTGTCAAGTTTTGCCGCGAGTAGACTCGGAAAAACTGATGACTGGTGCTGTCATACCATTTTTCCATCTAGAAACCATTTGTAATTCAAACTTTCGCGTTTGTGATTGGTAGAAGTCAAGACGAGTTAAATAAAACAGCTCTGCTTAAGCGACTTGGTGATGTTGAGAAAGGTGATACAGCTTGTTACTATTTCAAAGACACACTTACCTATGGAGCTTCCAGACAACTTGGTTATTTCGGAGTCAGTACCGATGGAACTGAATGGTCTCGTGAAGACCACTGGACGTCTCCTCAGACAATAGTACGAACATCCTAAGCCCAGTAGCATCAGTGATAGGAACAAGATTCCACAGATAATCAAAAGGATCTGGAAACCTTTCAGTGGAGGCGCCAGAGGAGCTGCCGGTGTCGATTGACTAAAATAAATTATTGTGATATCAAAAATGCCTTAGGTGTTACGTTCATAATGAGTGACTTTCTGGTTTAATGTGGCTTTGAGGTAAAGTTATTCGTAAAACAATTTTTCATATTCCAGTAGCAGCATTTTTCATTTTGAAAATAGCCCAACTAGCAAAGTAGTGTTATAAGCTTTTGGTAAAAGAACCGTTCAGCCATAAAAGCTCTCTATTGTTGTTGCCTGAACACCAAAATGCTGGCTTAATGTTGACAAACAACGCATGCATATTGGTTCAAAAGGTTTTATCAACTGTTCAAACAGAAAATATAGATCTGGTAGAAATTCTGGGTAAATCATTCGGCTCTGTCGGTATTTCATTTCAGACATTTGACAAATTGTTGTATAACACCTGCAGGCAACACCAAAATATTCTACTAAACTAAAGACAACATAGACGATACCATGATTATACACAACCACCCGCCATATTGGGCAAACATGTATTCCTCTATTTAATATTAAATAATTATGTTTCAGTTCGAAATTACAGATATAAAGTGATAAACATTAGTGTAATTGTCTCTAAATATAGGATTTGTGGAAGATTTAACGCAGATAAGTTCAGTTTTCCATCTTAAAAATCTAGACATACTTTTGATCATTATCGAAATATGAATCAAATACGAAGCCCATAGAAATCGAGTAACTACTTTGCACGATAATCACAATAAAATTTGATGCGCAAGTAATTCAATATTCCTATATCACAGTGTAGAAGTGTATCATATACCTGTGTTCGAAATTCACAATGGCCGATATGTAAGTAAACAAGATGACTGTAATGTGTTAGTTATATATTCTTCACTTCGTCTATACAATACATAAGAAATAGTTTGTTTGCAATAAAGTAGAATCACGTAACAGAGTAGTTGTATAGTTGACAAAAACTGAATCTTGCACTGACGCAAATGTCCTATAGCGGCTGCAAGAGGCTTACACTTTTGTTGTATAACTGTAGCCCCTATACAACCTCTTAAATGACTGAAGTGTCCTATTAAGTGTGCCCATTTCACTTGCATAGGTGTTCTAAGAGGGTTTTGCCAATGTTCTTACAGTATACAATGCTGTGTAAGGAATACTGTATAATCATTCTTGCAACTCTAATAGGAGTGATAATTGTTAGTTGGGAGTGTTTCCCAAGTGTAAGCCATATCCAAAGCTGTCATCAGTTGATAAAGGATAATGTTCCACATAAGAAACGAACATGTTTCACAAAAAATTGAACAGACCAAGTCAGCCAAACAGGCACATATAATTAACATTTGCATATTTAACGTTTTGTGTACAATGAGATCGAACGGACTGCGACGTACGTATTATATCAAGATACAAATTTTGTTTGCGATAACAATACTTCCTCTCCATTCTGATTGATTATACAATAACGAACAAAAATCGAGGATTATTGTACTTACTATAATGCAGGAAGAGCGGCAGGTGGTGGAACAATTGGCGGTGGATATCTGCATACTATCGTTATAATCTCATCACCATCTATTTCTAAAGACGGGTGGAATCTCACCACGATGTTGTTTGTAAATACTCTTTGAGGATCCTGTAATGGAATTATCGTGATATTGCTATAATTTTGTTACAATGTAGATACATTATTATGCTTTTACACCTCGCACTTCGTTCTAGAATTTGCATCGATCAGGATCAGACGTCGTATGATTATGATGCAATTCACACAGAAGACTTCATAACGTTAATCGAAAATCGAAAAATAAGTGACAAAAAAGGTAAACACCTACGTATGTTTATCCGATTTCAGTAATTTTTGTCATATAAGTTCAGTGTACTTTACTAGTAACTACTGACGGCAGAAACTGGTTCAATAACGCCTGGCCATCGTGCTAGAATTTATCCTATTATTGCCCCTTAAATCCATTGTGTTTTACCTGGTCAAGGCCTGCTTGAAAAAAAATACATGGAAATTGCTCAGAAATCCTCAGAAAGCTAATACATATTTTATTATATGAGAACAAAATAAGTACTCGTACGTGGCATTTATAATTAACTAGTGTAATAGTATTAAAGATTCAAACATAAAAAACTTCATTGCTCTGTTAACCGACATTCCACACAGTCCATTCCACACAAAACAATGTCTTTGATTGCGAAAACGACCATGAGACCAACGAATTCACATTATCGTATGGACGCTAGACAAGACAAAGAAGGATGACTGTAGACCATCTGTAGATCATGTCTTGAGACCGCCTCCAGACTGCCTATAGACAAATTGCGCAACGGGGTCTACTAGTATGTAATAAGCTTAAGGTTTAAGAATCTGAACTGCCCATTAAACAAATCAAGTGAGTGGTGCAAATACTGACACAATCAAGCACTTCTATTATATCAGCAGTATGACGCATGTATTCCACGATTCCGACGTGGATAATTTCGGTTATCGCAGAACAGACAGCCGATGCATCCGCGTCAGTGAAACAGACATTTCTCCAAGGAAAGGTAAAGAAGTCTCCGCCAAGAAAAGCATGGCGGGACGATTGGATTCCAAGTAGTGATGAGCAGCATCAATGTTGCTGTTAATCCCGCAGATGTACGTGAAACAGATTTTATCTTCGATGTTGTTCCCTCGGGTCCACCCTCCACGGGAAGAAGTTGTATGCTGGATACAACAACTTCCGGGTTTTTGAAATTCAATACAGTGGACCTCCGATAATCCGGCCCCTGTAATCCGACATGTCTTTGAATATGTATTACAAACATACGTATTTGACAATCTTCGCTAATGTAGATCACGCAGGTTTGAACAGGTTACAACTTGTACGCGCCACCGCTATCGTACTTTACTTAAGTTTGTATTTGACTACTGATGATAGCGGTACGGCCTAGCGTGCGTTCATTGTTTACTATTTATTCATTGTGTATTAAGTATAGTAATGTCATCACAAACTCAGAAGAGAAAACACAAAACATTGACAGTTAAAGAAAAATGTGTTATTTTAGACCGCTTAAATCGCAATGAAACTTTCAGTAGTTTAGCAAGTGAATACGGCGTAGGCCGATCTACAATTTATGACATTAATAGAAACCACGAGAAGATCAAGAAGTTCGTGTCAACTAATGACTGCGGCCCAGGCAAGAGACAGACACTCAAGAAAGCTGAAGAGCCAGAAGTGGAAGAGGCTTTGTACATGTGGTTTCTTCAGGAAAGAAATAGGAATGCACCAATTTCAGGACCCATGTTGGCCATGAAAGCTAAGTTTTTTTATAAGGAGATAACAAAAACAGATCATTTTGTGGCCAGCAAAGAATGGCTAGAATGTTTTAAAAGTGGTCATGGCATCCGTTTAATGACTATTACAGGAGAGAAACTTTCTAACTATGCCACTTGCATAGAGCCCTTTAAATTAAGATTTCTGCAAAAGGTGAACGATTTAAATCTTGACCCGTCACAGGTGTACAATGCAGACAAATCTGGGCTTTTTTGGCGTGTGATGCCTAACAAAACTTTCGTTTCTTGTAACGAAAAATCCGTACCTGGACGAAAAGTAAGTAAAAAGCGTGTAACCATACTACCATGTGCTACCGCTGCGAGCACACACGTGCTTAAGATTGGGAAATCTAATAAACCACGGGCATTCAAAAACATTGATTTACCTGTACACTATTACGGACAAAAAAGTGCATGGACGACAAAAGACCTTTTCAAAAAGTGGCTTGATGAATGCTTCGTACCTGAAGTTAGAAAATGGTTAAAGGATCATAATTTTCCTCAAAAAGCGTTGTTGCTTCTTGATAACGATCCCGGTCATCCGTCTGAAGAAGAACTAACAACTGAGGATAAATGCATCACTGCGATGTTTCTTCCGCCAAATTGCACTGTACTGATTCAACCAATGGACCAGGATATCATTCAGTTTGTCTATCAAGACTATAAGAAAAACCTACTTCTGAGAGCCGTACCAAAAGACCAACCAATAGAAAAAACTTTAAAAGAATTTAATATGAAAGACTTGGTTTTTGCTCTTTGTCAGTCGTGGAATGCGTTACCGTCATCAACTATTAAATCGTCTTGGAAGAAGTTATGGCCAGATATAGTCACCACTCCTAGCAACGTTTCACAAATCAGTGTTACTTCGGAATTTATAGAACAAGTCGCTACTGAAACACATATAAGTCCGGAAGATTTGGAAATCTGGTGCCGTGGAATGGATAAAGAGGAAAATGTTTTTCATGAAATGTTTGACGAAGAGATTATAAAAGAGGTTTCTAATTTTACAGCAAACAATCAGGAAAATAACGACGACGTGATTGCAACTGCTCCACAAGTCACAGCACAAGACGCAATTAATGCCTTTGAGCTAGGTTAACGATGGGCTGAAGAGAATGGTACATCCTACAGCGAACTTTTACTTTTGAGAAGACTGAGGGACAAAGCTCTGATCTCGCGTTATAACAACCTTAAACAAAAAAAAATTGGTGAATATTTCCAAGCTGCATAATTTGATAAATTCATTAATGATTTTGATTAAAGTTCTTGATTATTTTGGTACATTTGTATGTGCATTTATGCTTAATTTTATAATAAAACGTAAGCTCTCTATTGTTATTTAATTTACTACATTTGACATACATAAAAGATGTATGATTTGTACTTCAAAGTACATACATATACATAACATATATAATATTACCATTGGATATGTAACTTGTCGGATTACAAGGTACTCTTTTGTAAAAAATTCCGGACTATAGGGGGTCTTAGGCAGTGTTCTATAATCCGACAAATTCGATAGAGTCCGTCACTGCCCTGCATAATGCTTGTCGGATTACCGGAGGTCCACTGTAGGTATAGATGTTACAGTTATTTTGCAGACTTTCGTTGTCGAACTTAGATTTAGTTTAGACAGTTTTCGAACCTGTGTTGATTGCATCTAGAAATGTTGGGAATCCTTGGAAAAAACTATATCTGTTAGATCGTAATTATTTCGATAATGTATATTTGCATTAAGCAAGTACAGGAATACAAGGCTGTACACTTTCACGTATAGTGAAGCAGCTCTGTGATTAAACGAATTCAATATAGCAACATAAATAGACACATACGCGAGAAGAGATGCGGGACATGTGGAATTGATTTTGAGCATCGATCGACGCAGTTTCTAGACAGGCTGCAGGCGCACCGCTAAACAAATCTCATAAATGTCTATTTCCAGTTCAGGCGTTAATCTAACATAGTGCGTCGCTGCAACACCAACTCCGAACAAAATCAGCCAAGCTTTACATACTTTTCAAATTACTATTGAGCAACAAACATAACATAAATCACTCCTTAAGTGCCATCTGTATGGCTTAGATTTGTGACAAGTCACAATACTCGTATTTACGTATAAATCGTAAGAGTTGTACTGTAAACAAGTGATGTCATTTGGAATACCAAAGGATACCAAAAAATCATAATGCTCAGTTCCTATAGCTGTAACTTATAGTTAGTATGCCTCTGTCACCATGATGTGACAGATAGTAACACAATGGTGTTAGATTGCAAAAGCAAATGTCAGACCCCCTCTAAATCCGTCAGTGCCCAGACATGTTCAATTGGAGATAGGTCAGGAGAAAGTGGTGGGCAAGGTAAACAGTTGATGCGATGTTGATTCATGAAGGCTAACGATGCTCTGGCAAGATGCGGTCTGGCATTGTCTAGCTGAAAAATCGGGTTTTGGTATGGAATAAGATGATGCTCCACTACTGCCTGAATATAGCGTCGGGCTGTCATATTGCCTCTGATGAAAATCTGTGGTGATCCGCTACCATAAGCAATAGCACCCCGTACCATAACTTCCACGGTGTGGTGAACGGGACGCTTTCTGTGAAATTGTGGGTCACGTCTTTCACCAGACAGAAGCGGGATTCGTCACTAAAGACACCTGATTCCATCCCCGGCCCCATAGAATTCTTTCTCTACACCAGAGCAAACGGTTACGCCGATGTTCAGCTGTGAGAGGTAGCGCGAAAAATAAAAAGCTCAACCTGTCGTTATTCGGCGATATACCGTACACATACCAACCATCCTTCTATGCTCTTCAAACCGCTGATTAGCGATGGCTCGGGTACTACTGAATCTGTCTTTCAGAGCCAGAAGTCTTGACCGGCGGTTTTGTCGCTCTGTGGTCCCTCTGGGATGTCCAGAAACTCTCGCTCGCTATCCTTGACCTTCCTGACTCCACGCTCGTTCACGCTGCGCTATACTGCGTAAGGATCTGTTGGTCCTCCTAGACACTTTTGTTATCCATAGACCGGCTTCACGTTAACCCGATAATTCGACCACTTTTAAAGTCACTTAGCTGGGCACCCGGTGAAATCAACGCACTCTAGGTAGTTTGAACTATCACAAAAAGTCTTCTCAAAAGCTACATGAAATTTGAAATTTACACCGTAAATGTACGAAAACTGAATGCTTGTTTATCACCAAACGATATACGCAGCCTCCACAAAAACTTAACAGAAGAACCTGACCATTTTATCACTTGTTCATGGCAAGATAAAACGGTATGTGACCAAGTTTTGAATTCTAATAAACATATGTGCTTACCTTTTTGTCACTCAGCATAATAGATGAATGAAATGAGTAGATGCAAGGATAAACACATAAGTATTCTATTCAGGAGCAAAATGGAAACTGGGAAATCCATATTATGATTAATACTTCTTCTGTTTTCAGCCGCCTATCTTTTATTAGATAGTACGAACCCCTTCCCACTTCAGTTGGCCTAACTATTAAAATATTAGTTTTTTCTTATCAAACACACATAATAAAACTGTACCAGGGTGTTATAGGTTTAAAATATTAATAATGAATATTTTGATAATATATAGTATAAAACACCAACTTTATCACTCCCTAATCAAATTTGAAGCATAAAAATAACACGTGTTGCAATTACAGCATATCAACCTATTTTCATTTCAATAAAAAATAAGTCTATAACGCACAGGTGGCTGTGAAAAATAAAAGCCATAACAATTGTTTTTATTAATCACAGCTGTCGGAATACGTTTAAAATAGTTTTGGGTAGTTAAGGCTTTCAAAATGGGTAGAGAAAATGTTATTAGTGAGAAAATTCGGTTACTGATAATTAAATTTTTCAATTCTGGGAAATCAAATTCAGAAATTGCAACTTTGTTAGACTTATCGCGGTACAGTGTGAGAAATATTGTTAGAAGATATAACGTAACTGGTTCAGTTAATATTAAGCCACGATATGTGAAAAAAGTAAAATATCACAAATGCCGAAGAGCATTAAGAAGAATAATCGTGAAAAACAGGCGTGAGAATTATCTATAATTAAGTGCTCTGTGGAGTGACGCTGTTGGAAGGAGAATTTCGAGGCCCACAACTCACAGAGAGGCCCACAAACTGGGATTTAGCACTTGCAAGGGAAGTTTTCTTATAAAAAAGTGAAGTAAAAACCCTAAAGTTGCACAACTTGTTTATAGGCCAAATAAAGGCCACTATTAACTCCACTGCAAAAGAAAAATCGGCTTAGATGGGCTAAACAACATAGACAATGGACACCTCGTCAACAATGCTGTGCAATACAATGGAGTGATGAGGCCCGATTCGAAGTTTGTGTTGTGACAGTCGCAGTAGAGCTATTCGCAAAAAAATGAAGCATTCCATGTTGACTGTCTGAAGAGAAAAGTGAAATTGTCAGCATCCATTATGGCCTGGGGCAGTATGTCATCAAAAGGAGTAGAAAAGCTTCATTTTATTGATGGAAATGTGGATACAAACAAATATTTGGCAATTTTAGAAGAATCGCTTTTACCAGTGATGGAAGAATGTTTGACATCCGGCCAAGATTTTGTGTTTCAGCACCGTACCATACCTCAAAAAGGCTATAAAATGGATGGAAGAAAATAATGTACCGCTTTTGAAGTGGGTTTCTAGCTGTGCAGATCTGTCACCTATTGAAACTTCGTGACACGAGATAAAAAAGGTTCTACGACAACATCCTGCTAGTACAATCACCGAACTGAGACAAAAGCTTCAAGAAATATGAGATTGTTTTGCACCAAATTTTTGCCAAAACTTGGTTAACAGAGGCCACAAAGAATATCAGCCGTAATAAAAAATAAAGGTGATGTTACCCAATGGTAATCTTTCAGTTGTTGCTGTGTTAACTTCGCGCATTTATTCGCACATTGTTTATTTGTTCAGATTTTCTATTAGTTATAGGTCTAAGTGATTTCAAATATGTATTTTTTACGACTAGAGTATATCTAAAATGTTTTTGAGAAAATAAATTGTTTTAGAAGTAAATAGTTTAGTTTATAAAGGCATATTTTGGTACAAATCTTGAAGTATGTCAACTGAAGTGGGAAGGGGCTCGTATAACCTATATAGCCTGAACGATTCAGGAATGTGATTGCTCAGGTCATATTTGGTATAGCTACTTCCAGGTTCTGTCCCAGTTGCGATGTCTATAAGTAGTCTTACCTGTTTGGTTCCACATCCTTTCAATGGCAGCTCGAGTCGGTAACTATAGCCTCCCTTGCCATGTATCTGACAAGCCGAGTTTCTTTCGAATGCCGCATACGCCAATCCGTAGAATTTGTCGTTGAATTTGAGTTCCACCTGAAACCAAATTGACGTGGATCGTGGATAAATCATTATTTTGCATGCAAAACTGTTATTTAATCTGTATCATACGAAGGGTACTATGAAAGTTTTGCAACACCGCTTCATTTATTGACTTTGTTCAAAGTAATGTCCACCACATTCAATGCACTTATCGATCCGCCAAAAGCAGTCCTCATACCAGGTGAGCCAAGTTCCACCCGGGAGTACGGCACACCCGTTGTCTCAACCCCTCAGAAGCTCCTCATCGCTAGAAAACCGTTTTCCTTTTAGCTCCATTTTCACATGCGGAAACAGTGCAAAGCAGCAGGGAGCAAGATCTGGACTGTAAAGAGGATGCTCAATAAGTTTCAGTTCAGTAGTTGACAAATACTCGGTGCAGGCTTTGACGCGGTAAGCTGGAGCGTTATCATGGTGGAGGTACCAAGTGCCCATTCTTGGCTTTGGGCGCAGATTTTTCATAGACTCTATGACTTTAGGCAGGCACTGTTCTGTGTACAACTCAGCAGTGGCTGTCTTCTCTGTGTCCAAAACGACACGCTCCTCAATACCGCTCGATATAAAAAATACAGCTATCAGTTTTTTCTAAACAGATCGGGGTTTTCTGATAGCGTGTGATCCAAACGTTGTTTTGGGCACATCGTAATAATAGAGCCAAGTCTAGTCGGCTGTCACGATGGTGCTTACATACCGAGATTGCCACTTAACAAACATTTTCTGCATCTTTCGGAATTTAATCGTACGACGACTCTTCTGCTCTTCCGAAAAACTATGCGGTAGCCAGAGAGAACAAAGTTTCCTTACGTGTAAATGGTCATGCAGAATTGAATGAATTGCTGGTGCATGAAGGTGTAAACTCTCCTCTACCTGTCGGTATGTCACTCTCTGCTCTTCGTCAAGCATTTTCCTCACAGCAGTAATATTTTCCTCCGTTACTGACGTTCGCGAACTTCCTTCCCTCTCAGCGTCCTTCAGAGTGAAGCTGCCCATTTAAAACTCTCTCTACCACCTGAATATAGTCGTACGATGGTCTATGCTTAAACCATGCGTAAAGTTATACCGTAAAACTGCCGTTATCCTACTACGTGACCACGATGACATAGTCCGCAATTTACACTATCAATACGAATGAACAACTAAATCAGCAGACGTACTGATGGCGGCTACTATGCACTCATGGACATGTCTCAACCTGCAGCTTCCTGCGTTCGTTTGTTAAGTCATATTGCAAAACTCTTATACTACCCTTTGTGTAGTTACCCCAGGATGTTAAATCTCACCCGGACCACCATGGTTACCATTTATATCACACCAGATACAAAGAGACCCTGTACCCGAAGCAACACAAACTTAACAACAACCGCATAACATTTAACATCGATTTACCCCACGAAATGAGGTCTCTTGCACTTAACGAATTCATTAAGGTCACGAAATTTGTTTTTATAAAAAGCTATATCTAACACCGACCTGTTCCTCAATCACAACTTCTTGAAGTAATCTCTCTACAGTATATTCAGATAAGAGATAGACCGGATGTAAACAAAAGGTTCGGGTGATTTTCACGCTAACGCCGCCGTCTCGACGTAAAACAGGAGCCCTCATTGGTCAATTCGCAATTAAATGCCTATGCCGAGCGGCAGAGCAGTCGTATCAAGGCAGAGTCACACTCAGGTTCAGACGTGTTACGTATGTCGTGTGCATCATTGCAATTTGATATTTCTTTGGACGTTTTCGTTTGTTATCTTATTAAGTTGTTGAGTTTGTCGTTGTTATTGTTATACCTTGTTATTGATTGTTATTGTTATCAACTGCTTGCGCAAAATGCCCAGTAGTACAGATACTGCCGATGAAGTTGTAAACTCCTGTAGTCCACCTAGGAAACGCTCTAAAAAAAGACACCTGAGTGCAGAAATGAAAGAGGTCATTTTGAATATATATAAGATCGAGCGCGAGGAGAACGAGGCATCAACCATCAAAGAAATTGTTGTGAAGGTTTCTCACAAAGTTGGGGTGTGTCGCGCATCAGTGTTTAATGTGTTAAGACAATACAAAAAAAAACACACCTTTTCTGAGCCAATGACCAGTAAACATCGCAAAAGTAGTGTTAAATCATTGGATGAAGCTGATAAGCATGCGATTAGGAGGAAAGTGCATGAATTCTTCTTTAGGAATGAAATACCTACTATAGATAAAGTACTGCAGGAGGTAAATGGAGATACAGCGTTGCCAAATTTCAAACGATCAACTTTCCATGCGTTACTGAAGCATTTAAATTTCAAATGGAAAAAACGGGGTCGTAATAGTTTACTACTTGATAGAGAAGAAATTGTGCTATGGAGGAGGGATTATTTAACAAAAATTGGGAAATATAGAAATCAAAACAGGTAGATTTATTACCTTGATGAAACGTGGGTAAACGCAGGACACACTACAAGTAAAGTATGGGTTGATGATTCTGTAACTTCATCCAGGAGGGCCTTTCTAGATGGACTGTCCACTGGATTAAAAAATCCAGCAGGTAAATACGAGTAATAGACAACAATCGGATGTTTTTCAAACCTTGGGAACAAGGTTCTAAACATTAATTCCAGGGGGCAGATAAAACATATTACAAGTAACAAAACTTTTATAACTTTCGATAAAATGCGTGGATGTTTTATTGTCATTTTCATTTGTTAGAACTTTTTTAAGCCATGTTTTTATGTGTTTTCGATATTTCAATAATTTTTTAATATAATCTTAAAATATGACGAATATTATAAACTTAAAAAAAGTTACTAAGTTTTATATTGTGTACCGTTCCTAATATTTCTAATCATTTTAAGTCATACTTTAAGCTTTATAAAGTTATAATTTGTTAATATTAATATTTGCGCGTATTTCAGGTTCCTGATCATTCATTTTTAAAGGTTTATAACTTCAAATTAAATTGTGAAGCGCTGAGTAATCATACGACGTTCAATATTCTTTCTTTCAATATGACTAAATAATCCCAATTATAGCAATCTGATACTCATGTCTCAATGTTTTTTCGCTGAATGTGATGAAAACATTTGAAAAAGGTTCGCTTATTGAAATGAATCTACACCAGTTAGTACTTCGATTTCCAGGTAAAGGGAAAAGGCTCATTATCTGCCATATTGGCAGTGAGGATGGATTTGTTGTTGACGGTCTGTGGTGCTTTGAGTCTAAGAAAACTGGAGATTACCACGAGGAAATGAATGGCGAATCGTTTGAACAGTGGTTTTCAAAAATTTTACCGAACTTAGAGGAAAACGCAGTAATTGTGTTGGATAATGCGCCTTATCATTCTCGAAGAATGTAGAAGGTCCCAACAACGGCTTCAAGGAAATTTGATGTTCAAAATTGGCTCCGCTCGAAAAATATCAACTTTGAAGAAGCAATGCTGAAAGTACAATTATTAAGAATTGTCAAGGATCACAAGGCGGAATATCAAAAATACGCCATTGACGAAATGGCAGCAAGTCAAAATAAAACTGTGTTGCGTTTACCTCCATACCATTGCGAGCTCAATCCCATTGAGCTCATATGGGCAGAGGTTAAAAATTATATAGCTAAGCATAATACAACTTTTAAATTTTGTGACCTCAAAGGACTTTTCAAAGAAGTACTAGAATTAATAACAGCGCAAAAATGGGAAAACTGTATTAAGCACGTGAAAGACAAAGTTGAAAAGAGAATGTGGGAACTGGACAATATTTTAGAGGAACAATTCGAGCCATTCATTATTGACGTTGGTGCTTCAGGCAGTAGCGGTGATGAAAGCTCATCAAGCTCATCTTTCCAATAAAAGATGTCGTTCATCAAATTCGGTAAGTTATAAGTAATTATAAAGCTACTGTATTTTTTAATTAATTATTGACATTTTTGAACCCATTTTGGCAAAACCTATTCAAGAATCTACTTTCTGACAATGTTCAACCATGCACATTTTTTTACGTTTTGAACGTTTTAATTTGGTTACATATTTACCTAGAAATCAAAAAATATACTAATCAATATTCTAAAAGCAATTTTAAGAGATATACGATTATTTTTAATTTGGGCTAATTTAAACGCCATTTTGAGATTATATTCGACTGTATTTCACCAAACATCAGGCGGCATCCGAAGCTGGAAATCGAAGCGAAAATTTTGAAATCCTTATGTATATTTACATCATTATATATTTCTTACCCCACCCCCACATGATCCTATATCCATCACCAATCGTATACACATCGAATTGTGCTAATTTACTACAAAGTTACGCAAAGCAGCATCTACTATCTAAAATATGTACTGCGTGACTCTTAATACGTCCCTGCCGAATGTTACAGCGTTCGATGATCACGTGGTCTTGTTTATGTCCGGTCTATCTCTTATCTGAATATACTGTACAGCTTTAACTTTTTATGCCATTTTTTGTCCGAACATATTATGTCCATCATTTATCTTTTTATGTGCAATTCTATATTTACTAAATGATTTGTCGTTAATCTGTATTATAACTTTATCCCATACTTTTTATTATGCAACTTTTACCCATGTTTGTGTCTAGGATTTGTAGTGTTTGCTTTTATGCTATACAGGGTGGCCCATTCATGTGTGGACGGAATATTACTCATAAACAAATACATTTTGGGAAAATCTATTTACGGGATGTTATACATGACATTTGAGGGCACATTTCTCAAATATTGGTCATTATACAGGGTGTCCCAATTTTGACCTACATATCAAAGTTGCAATTTTCTAAATGGAATGCCTTAAATTTTATTGCATATTTGGATAAGCCAATTCAAAGGAAGAAGGTTGATATAACATAATATGGGGTTTTGTTTTTTAGCTACTGAGATGTAAGGTGTTTCGTCCAGAAAGCCGTCCATTTCGGCAACCCCTCAATCCCCCATTTTGAAATTTGGAGTGCTGAATTTTGTATAAAAAAAAACTTACATCCCTCAGCTTATATCTTATTTGTTATTTTTTCGAATTATAATTTTTGCTCATACAGGGTGGTCAAAAACGCAAATTGTAGTTTTTCTAAAAAATTTCAAATGCATCACCCTGTATATTTGTGCAAGTTTGGATTCGATTTCTTATAAGCTATTTTTGATACCAGACACATAAGGGTTTCCACGGCTATTTTTTCGGTTATTAGCCCGTCTTTTATTGAACGGCTTGAATCCCTAAAATATCCTTGGAAACAAACAAATTGTTGATTAGTTACAAACTGAATTAGCTCTGTGAGCATTACAATAAAAAAGTGTTTGAAAATGAATTTTTCTAAAGAAGAAATGGTGAATATAGTGTTCGTAAATTTTGGCCTCTTAGGTCACCAGATATGACAATGATGAACTCCTTTCTGTGGGGCTACGTTAAGCAAGAGGTTTATAGATATCCACCATCCACCCCGGAAAATATGAAGGAAAGTATTAAGGATGCTTTTCTGAACACAAGGGAATACATGCTGAGGGATGTGCAACGATCATTTATCCAAAGACTACGGCTGTGTATTCAACACGGTGGAGATGTTTTCGAGCAGTTTTTGTAGATTAGGTCTTGAGTAGTGATAGTTGTTTGTTTATGTTGTTGTTATAGTTGTTTTTCTCTATTACGCTTGAAGATGATTTATACTGTTCTGATTGTTATTAGTTTTTACGTCAAATCTGTACTCTTAGTGGCAATACGGAACTAGCCCACTGATTGTATTTTGTTTCAATGGATGATGTGATTCTTTTCTTTAATTTTGTTGTGTTGTTCTATTAAAAGCTTAATAACTCAAAATCTAGTAATTTTATCTGATTCAAACCTCATACCAAAACAAAGTTCATAAAAAACTGAACCTAAAGTTGCACAAATATACAGGGTGATGCATTTGACATTTGAAATTTTTGAGAAAAAGTACAATTCGCGTTTTTGACCACCCTGTATGAGCAAAAATGGAAATTCGAAAAAGTAACAAATAGGATAAAAGCTGAGGAGTGTAAGTTTTTTTGATACAAAATACAGCACCCCAAATTTCAAAATGGCGTACTGAGGTGTTGCCGAAGTGGACGATTTTTCTGGACAAACCACCTTACATCTCAATAGCTAATTATCAGAACCCCATAGTATGTTATATAAAACTGCTTTTTCTGAATTGGCTTATCCAAATAAGCAATAAAATTTGGGGCATTCCATTTAAAAAATCACAGTTTCTATATGTAGGTCAAAATTGAGACACCCTGTATAATTGTAAATATTTTAGAAATGTGCCATTAAATGTCATGTATAACATGCCATAAATAGTCTTTCCCAAAATATATTTGTCATTTATTCCCTGTCTTAAGTTTCCGTCTACTCTACTACTAGATATTACTATGCCTTTAACTTGGCCCATCATGAGAAACCTTGAAATTTTACAGAAACTAACATTACTCGATTTCAAAGGAGAAAACATTTGTAAATCACTAAGTACCGTTTTATCTGGTGTAGTATGGTAAAATCATATTGTATAATATATTGTTATTAGAAACTTCCTAGTTATTGCAAGTAATATAAATTCACCGGAAATGCTGCGCTAGTCAGAGGAATGACCGAGGTACCTTGCAGTACCTATTAATATACATTTTTAAACAAAATAGAGTTAACCATCCTGAAATCAAGTTTTGTTACTGGTGATAACATGGATATAAGGTACTCGACGTAATAGCCCAATTTTTGGGATGAATTTGAACCGGTGTTGTTCCAAGGTACTTTCTTTTGGTTACCTGCATAGATCCAGCCGCACAGTTCAAAGCCGCCTTGGTGCGATTGAGAAAAATGACAGGACTGAGATCATCTAGCTGCGTGACTTTACCGTCCAGCACTGTTGCTGGAGGCAGTCCTTCTCCTATATACTCCACATTGTTGGCCTGGGATCCGTAGTTGGACTGCGCTGAAGCGTAGTTGCACAAGCACGCCACCGCCAGACACAGCCATTGTGAGAGATTCATCTGGAAAGAGAAAACAACACTAAAGAAACATAGAAAACCAGATACTGCGTTTTCGGCGATTTATAACTGTTCAAAGCATATCCAATGTTGGACCAATGTATCGATCACAGGTACACAAAAATTTCTTTTTCTTTGCTGCCACTAATTCGATGTTATAATTCGGTTAATTAGCACACAAGATATCTTGCGAAGCTGTCAAAATCTTGAAACTACGTTCAGGTTTGTATCGATCGATAATAACCTAAACAATGTATTTTTTCATACTTAAATATACTGTACAATAATTTGCAATTAAACGTGATCAAATGTTTCGAATGAAATGTTTTGTTTTTTAATAAATTAATTAAATGCTTTTTAATTTATTTAGCCTTGCGGAATCTCCAAAACTACAAGTAGGATTAAAAAGTAAATACAGCAGACGCTCGATAATGTAAACTAATTTAATCCAAGTGTGGTTCACATTATCGAAATGTTTACATTAGCGAACGTGATTTATATAATATTTGATTTATTAAAACGTTTAATACATACTATTTATAATAAAATAAACAAATATTCTAACAGCGATAAGTATTTTTGTAATTAGAAGAAAAATAACTAACAATTTTTGTCTACGTAAATTTGCGCTTAGCATTGTCTTCCAATGCTTGCGCCCGTAATTTACGAAGAACTAAAATATCCGTGTATGAAACTTCTTTTCTTTCAGCCCAATCTAAAGCTTGGTTAAAAACTTGTATAGCTTGCGCGTCAGTCACTACACTTCTGACTTCAATGGGATCGTTCTCATCATCCTCACTGTCCATATCCTCCTCCTTATCAGCATCATTCGTCTGCTTATCTTCGTTCCATAAATTAATATCAGCAGGAGTACAAACAATGTTGGGATTCACTGTTTTCAATAAATCAACAACATCCAATGACACACTAATAACATTATCATTATTGGATCGCAAACGTTCTCTAATTACGCTTAAGGGGACATCGTCTTCATCATCTTCATTATTGGTACAAAAGAGACTGTTCCAATATTTTTGAATAGTTTGCTGGTTAAGTTCATACCATCCCATATGTAAATCTAAAACAGCTTCTCGTAATGTTATTTTTGTTAAAGCCTCAGATAAGTTTTCAGAATTCTTTGATAAGACAGACGAAAGTAGAAACTTCCTATAGTAGAGTTTGGTGAGTGTTATTATATTCTGGTCCATCGGTTGAATTAACGGTGTTACGTTGGGCGGCGTGTACATGACGAAAATTGATCCATCCCTGCTCCTCAGTTGTTGCTCGGGAGGATGACTTGGTGCATTATCCAAGAGTAACAACGCTTTTATTGGAAGCTTCTGTTGTTTTAGGAAACCTTTTACCTACAAATTGAAAACACATCTTCAAATTATGAATAGAGCATTTGTGATAATTGATTGTCATACCTGAGGGACAAAGCACCTGTGGAACCATTTCAGGAATATACTGCTAGTCATCCAAGCGGTTTTTGAACAAGCATAATCAACAGGGATAATAACATTTTTAAATGAGCGCGGATTTTTTGCTTTCCCAATTACCAGTGGCTTTATTTTGTGTGAACCATTAGCATTAGTGCAGGCTAGAAACGTTATTCGTTGTTTCTCCGGCTCTCTTCCCGGGGCAGATTTTTCAAATGATGCAGCATAGGTTTTCTCTGGTAACATTTTCCAATAAAGGCCACTTTCATCTGCGTTGTAAATTTGTTACATTCTTAAATCTAGCTCGGTAATTGTTTTCATCAATTTTCCTTTGAGTGGTTGCACTAATTGTGGTTGTGCTGATAATTTTTCACCAGATATAGACAGCAGTCGAATTCCATATCATGTTTTGAATCGTTGTAGCCGGCCATCACTAGCTACGAAATTTTCAGTTTCTTTCAGTTTTTCATTTAACAGTCTCGCTCTCTGTTTAAGTAGTTCGCCACTAACTGGGACATGATTTTCCCGTTGTTTTAAAAACCACTTATACAGGGAATTTTCCATTTTAGGTGCCTTCGCATTTTTTAAAGTTTTTCTTTTTCCCGGACCTCCAAATGTATTGCACGTTCTTTGTAAAATTTGAGTTTTCATACGCTTAATTTTACAGTTTGTTGCTTTCGATACTCCATATTTTTTTGCTAACTGTGTCACTCCCGCACCTAGTGCAACTTCGTCTATGATTTTCACTTTCTCACTCAACTTTAATCACTTTCTTTTATAGGATGTGGATGTCATAGTCGTAAAATCTATTCACTTAAGTTCAAAAATGAAACACATACGTACGTATAAACGTATCCTAAACGATCATACGACTGACCGAGTTTGTCGTATTTTATCGCAGAGGTGAATCCCCTACATTCTACATCATAAATCGAGGACTCCCCGACGCCCGACATAAATCATCGAGGCTTCAGCATTTTACCGTCGCGCTGTTTCCGTGCGCCGAGAGTTGTTTACGTTATCGAGCGTACACATTGTTTACGTTATCGCGCGTTCCGTTTGATCCTACAGAACGAAGTTTGTGTTTACATTAGCGCAAGTTTTCATTATCCCGTGTTTACGTTATCGAGCGTCTGCTGTGTCAAGTTTTTATCAAGGTACAGAATGTACTGAAATAAGTTTTACTTTTAGCGGCACCGAAATCATTGTAGACCTGTGATTCATTCAATGTGAAGACGTTCGTTTAGTCAAATCAGTTTCCTGTACTACGTGAGACGTGGCTGGAAACAAAGCATGACTATAAGCCGATAAAAGCAATATATAATAGATTAATCAACTAGAACACCAACTTATAAATGTAGTCTAATATTGTACATGTAGACAGTATTCCCAGGGATCTGTCAAAGACCATTTATTTAATTGGGAACCTGAAAATATGTGGTTTCGCTGATATGCTGAAAGTCATATGCACTCTTGAACTGAGGTCACTTTTACGCTTACTTTGTCAAGAAAGGTTTCAATGCCATCGAAGAATTTTTAAGTAATAACTTTTCGGATCTGTTGTAATTTTCTTGTAGTCTGCTTGTTTACTCTTACTCTATTTGTTAATTTATTCGGTGTGCTTGTGTAGTTTTGTATTTATTTTAAATTCATACTATTATTTTACAATTTTTCTGTCAATGTTGTTTTTTACCGTTTTCTGTTAATGTTGTTCTTTCCAACAATTTTTATTGTTTTGCGTATCTTAACTTCTACGCTAACCTGTATAAGAGTGTATTAAGCACCAATAAAGATATGAAATGTAATACTACAGGTACCTTCCAGTGTTAAATAAAAAATGGGGCAAACATCAATTTATAACCTATTTTAAGAAACTTTTTAAGTTTTGACGATTTTAGAAAACTGATTCGTTTTGAGGAAGTTCTGTTAACTCTAGATAACACCCTTGGGAATAATAAAATCGTGAATCTAAGATCGAGCAGGCCATAAGACAGCTCGTCCTTGATCTATTCAATCTTTCTGTTAAGACTCCTACTAACAACCATACCAAATTGCTACCAATCACAGGAATAACTCTTGTGTATTTTTAAGACCTCAATAGTCCACCACAACAAGATTGCGGTCTTGAATTCTACCATTTTGGAAGGCTTCTATGAAGATTAGGAAGGGTCATGATCAATTTATACTATGGGATTGTCCAAAACCGACGCAGGAAAGTAAACGCATATTAAAACAAGAAAGATTGATATTCAAATCAAGTTGGGTACTTTATTTTGAAGGTTCAGTTATACCATTTACGTATGAAAAATAATATCGCTCAAATGTTCACCACGACTAGATTTACAGACGTCCACGCGATGGTCGAAATTTTCAATGACATGGTCGGTTCTATGGCATTTATCTCGGCAATGATGTTGTTTTTGAGTTCTTGGAGGGTGGCTGGTTTGTTGACGTAGACTTTGCTTTCTAAATATTCCCATAAAAAGAAGTCAAAGGGAGTCAAATCGCACGATCTTGGTGGCCATGACACATTTCCTCTGCGCGAAATCACGCGATCACCGAAGAAGGACTGCAATCGATGGATATTGACGTTGGTTGTGTGGCATGTTGCACCGTCTTGTTGGAAATAAACATCGTCCATATCGATTCCTCCAAGTTGCGGCAAAAAATAGTCCTCTATCGTCACGTGATATCGCTCAGAATTGACGGTAACGGCGTCCCCGGCCGCATTTTCGAAAAAGTAAGATCCGATGATGCCTTTTGACCACAATGCACACCACACAGTCACTTTTTGAGGATGCATCGGCTGCTCTTGATACGCACGGGGATTTTCGTTCGCCCAGATCCGGCAGTTTTGCTTGTTTATCGTCCCATTCAAAGTGAAATGCGCTTCGTCGCTGAACATGATTTTTGATGAAAAATTGGCATCAATTTGGCGGTGTTCAAGTAGCCAATCTGAGAACGTTCGGCGCGAAAAATGGTCGGCCCGACGCAGCTCTTGCGTCAGTTGGATCTTGTAGGCGTGTACATTCAAATCCTTGTGGAGAATGCGGAGCAAACTGGTTCTCGAAATGCCCAATTCTTGGGATCGACGCGTTGTTGATTCTTTCGGATCGTCTCTCACACTCTCCTTCACAACAGCAATATTTTCCGGTGTGCGAACGCTCCTTGACCGGCCAGAGCCTGACAGATTTGCCACAGAACCTGTTGCCTCGAATTTACGCACCAGACGACCGATGGTTGTTTCGTTTGGGCGGTTGTTGCGACCGAAACGTGTTTTTATTTTTGCACCATTTTTGTAGTGCTCTTGAATAACTTTAATGCGGTCTTCAATCAAGTACGACTCCATAGCGATCAATGGTAAACATTCAACTAACAAAATGACATGTCGGTGACAGAAAACAAAGATGGCGTCTATGCCAAATTAATAATAATAATAATAATAATCGTCTTTATTTAAACTGTACTTCATACAGAAACAAGAGTTGCATATGGGGGCGAAGTTTAGCAACATGCTACTCTTACACTTAACCACCCATGCAAAAAAATACAAGTTGTTAAGTAGCAGATATCAAACAAAATATACATATATACATACACATGTGCATACATACATATACACACATTACATACGTACATGTTGCACCAAGGTTTACTACATGTACACAAGGGAAGTGAAGAATCATTTATCAATATATCTATAGCAATCTAATTAAGACTATGGATACAAGTAAATATGAGATTTGACAGCTTTCTTGAAGCAATTTAAGGACATCGTTTTGAATTCAGGACTCAAGGCATTGTATAACACTGAAGCCCTGTACGTGAAAGAACGCTGGAATAAAGTTGTGGAGTGAATAGGTGTAGTTATCAAATCTGGAAATCTAATATGTCTATGATGAATATTTCGCCTAAAGATCAGCTTTTCTCTTAAGTATATAGGTTTTGACATAAGTATTAGTTTATGAATAAAAACAAGGTAATGATATTTGACAATATTTTTTGTTATCATCCAGTTTAATTCAATAAGACTACCAGAAACATGGTCAAAGCGCCTTAAACCGCAGATGAACCTAGCACAATTGTTTAGCACAATTTGAATCCGATTTCTAGTAACAACATTGAGACACGGATAATATAAAATATCACAGTAGTTGAAAATCGGCATAACCAAAGATTTTTCCTTAGCTTGTAATTGAAAATTGCTTTATTGGCATATAATGATCTCAGTCTCAAGTAGGTTTTCTTCAAAAGATTTTTAACATGACTGGTGAATCTAAGTTTGAAATCGATTACCACGCCAAGAATTTTAACCTCGTCAACCGGGTACAGTCTTTGAGATCCAATTTTAATAGTTAATCGTCTTTTAATTTCTTCTCTCCTACGATCCGAACAAAAAAATAACAGGCTGGATTTACCAGGATTTATTGGCAGGTTGTGGTTTATCGAGAAGTCATACACTTTTTGAATATCATGGTTTATTGATGTCTGTGCCATTTCCATATCATCAGTATCAAAATAATGGACCAGTTGAGTATTATCAATTGACGTTTACTTTCCTGCGCCCCTATTGGACAACCCTTGTTATGTTCCACAACAGCCTTGTTTACCCTGTGCATTCATACTAAAGCGTCTTTTTAATCGTCAAGGGAACATTTCAATAAGATAGTCCTCAGAATCGCCCCTTAAATTCTTATCCCGCATTTTTTAAACAAATTGTACATGTATACAGGGTGTTCCTTAATGATATGCGAATATTTTAGGGTGTGAATTAATGTTGGTTTGCTTTATAAACGATGGTCCAAAAATGTTTCCTTACAAAAACTCGGGGTGTTGAAATTTTATGAAACAAATGGAAATTAATTAATATTTTCAGAACCGCTTCAGATATTTCACTGATATTTAGTAAGTAGTGAAAGTTAATAAAGTTGCATATTTTTCAATGCAAAAATAATTTTTAGCTTCACCAGTGGCGTGCGTACAGATATTGACTTCGATATTTTTTAAGGCAAAAGTGGTAAGCCAATGGCTTTTTTGAATTAAAATTTTAAATAAAATATGCAATTTTATTAACTTTCACTAAGTACTGAATGTTAGTGAAATATTTGAAGCGGTTCTGAAAATATTGATTAATTTCCATTTTTTTCCCAAAACTTCATCACACCGAGTTTTTGTAAGGAAACATCTTTGGACCATAATTTATAAAGCAAACTAACATTAATTTTTGATGTAGAATCACACCCTTAAATATTCGCATATCATTAAGGAACACCCTGGATAATTAGACCCCAAATTCACGAAATGTTCACAGCAGCAATAATTGTTGAAGTTACAATCATTAGTAGTACAAGTTAGAAAATAGTACCAGTTTGTTGACATTCTACGACATCAATAAAATGACATTATTACTATTAAACAGCGTTTACAAACATCCTAAAGCACTTTAACATAGCTTCATTCCTGTCACGCAGATTTCAAGGCGATAAAAACGAACGGCAATGACCTTTTTGCAAATAAAAATTCTGCAAGCCGACCGTGTGGCCGAAAGTCTGTTTTCTTAAATAATGTATGACAACCAATGGCTCGGGCTATATTTAGAAGCCGGATGACATCACCCGTAGGAGTTGAAGCAACTGGTTTGCAATAATCCGTTCATAATGCGATTCTAGAAAAAAATAGTTAACAGTTACCGCTGAGCGTCAAATTATTTTAATAGCATCATAACCTTATCGTGAACATTATCTGTTCGTATGTCGATAGTAAAGTCATGAAAGTGCAACTAACATTAAATCTTGATGCGCATTACATGTCTTGTTGCAAGCTGGTATGCACCTACCCTATACAAAGTAGAGGAAAGTGCCCTAATATCGCACACTTTTTTTTGGGAACCTGTATCTTTAAGCTGCGATTATAAGGAGAAAATGTAGATTAATTATCAATAAAACACATCATGAATCGACAATATATTTAAAAAACAAGATCTCTTATTACATAACAAAGGCAAAAATGTTACAATTTTTTTACATTTTAATACGGTGGACGGTCTTAGGAATTAGGACCCTTATCCGGACAAATAGAAACCACAAACAAAATTCTTGTTTTTGACCAAATTTGAGCATTCGTCATGGGTCCATTTGAGACACTAGTAACATATTATCCATTTTTCGCCTCTGGTATCCTCTGAGCACAGTCTCAAACAAAACATACATTCTACGTCATTATCTTCATTTTCGGAACTGCAATCCATGTCAGAATCATCATCCAATTAAATATTTATATCCGACTTACTCTGCTCACTATCAAATCCTTTTTTTCGGCTTCTGTTACCTTTATTTGAATTTGTGTTGCTCGAAGAAGCACGTTTTTTTGCCAAAGATTTCGTTTTTTTATCGGGTCCTTTGTCATCCACCCTTAACTCTTGCAATATTTATTTCATTTTTATTTGTTAAAGTATCTTTATTGGTCGAGCCAGCTCTCATTCTAAGGATGCTACAGTCTTTTTTAGAACCTTCTTTTTATTAATTTCTGCCACACTGTTTTCTAAATCCTCCTTATATGGTGTACTGGTTATTAATTTTGCTGAACCTGTTCTGGGTTTATTATTTGAGACAGTTTTACATGCTTCAGTGACAGATGGTAGTGGAATTATGTTTTCAGGGTTTTGGGCCGTTCAAGTATTACGAAAGCAGATTTATTACAATTATTTACCCCCCATCCCCTTTGTCAGCAAAAGTAAGCAACTCTTACCCCCTTCCCTCATGCTTACGTAAACATTTGTCAATTAATGTATTGTTTTTTTTAATATTATGATTATAATGTTATAATTATAATTTGAAAAATAAGAAAATAGATTTAGGATAGAGATTAAATTTTACTGATACGGTATTCAACATCAAAGAACAAAAAAATTATATCTTACTAACATAACAAACTTATTTTAAATTTTTGCTACATATATTAAATTCAAAATTAACAGTCTTCAGTCCATGAAACCCGAATCCGTGATTCTAAGTTTTCGATGACATTGGATTGCTTCGATTGCTGCTCAGTGTTGTGAGTTTGCTCGCTTTCATCGGATTTTGGAATGTCTACGTCGTTCTCATCAAGCCATTCAACATCATGGTGCTCTAAATTTTGAATAATGCACATTAGTCCATTAGCGCGACGAGCAGCGACTCTTACAGTTTTAGCTAATGGCCGAAACTCTTCAATTTCGAGAAGCGTCTCGAAATCCTGAGCATGAGAATTAGCAGCAGATGAACTATGCTTTCCACTTCGAATAGCGATGTATTTTGGTCCAGAATATCCAACGGCTTGCGGTTGGCCTAGCATATTGGAAGTGATTTTGATACCAGCATAAACAGATGGTATTAATTTATGACGCTCAGCGATTACCCAATCGTCATCAGGCAATTTGATTCTAAACTCCATGTTCATTAGAAGAGGTGCTTGCTTATTTGCCGCAGTTACGCCAATAGGGACTCGAGATTTATCATCTTGAGATATGAAAAATACTTGATCTGGTCCAAGTATGGATGCTATGTTCTCTAAATAATGGATTGATGTTTCAGCGAACTTGCTATCTAAGTGGCTCTTGTGGTGATCAGTTTGAGCCCGAATGAGCTTAACAGCTACTGTCCATACATGTCTTCGTCCCTCTGCAGAATTAGATTTTCTGGGAATCAAACGAAGATATGTCCCACTGCGACTAATACCAAATCCTATTCTACGTAATTCTTGTGTGAGTTCATCAAGAGTTTTTACGCTGCGAATTGATTCCGTTCGTCTTCTATCATCTGCTGCACTCCCAAATGAAGCTATATCCGCGATTGTTTTCAATAGTGAATGTTGATTGCTTTCAAGATTAGGACGTCCCACTGAATCCCTCAGAGATAGTCTTTTTTGTATTTCTGGATTTTCATGACAAATATGTTCTAACTTTCTTTTCATACCATCCCTGTGTTTCTTCTGGGCAACTGCGTTTAGAACCTTCCTGTTTAGAGACTGTTTAGCTGTTTTTATTTCCTCGCGCAACTTAATGATCTGTTTATCAACTTCAGCACGGCTTGGCATAGAATACTAAGTGACATATAAATCCGAACACCCAGTTTAAATGGTTTTATTTTAATAAAATTTTGTATAAGTACTTAATGAAGCATAATAAGTAAATGATAAAAAATTCAAAATGATTGCACTGCCCTTTGACCTTTAATAATGTGTGGATGCACACTGATGTGCTACGCATTCTCCAACGCGCCTAGGCATGCTTCTGATCAGGTGGTCAATGTCCTCCTGTGGTATCTCATTCCAGGCAACCACCAACTCCTCTCGAAGTGCTTCTAGAGTCTGAGGAGGACGTTGCAACCTACCCATCATATTCCACACGTGCTCAATTGGGGATAAGTCGGGAGATCTTGGTGGCCATGGTAACAATGTGACATCATTATATTGAAAGAAGTCTATTGTGACTCTTGCAACATGTGGTCGGGCATTATCTTGTTGGAAAGTTGGATCTGCCAGGGTGTCAAGATATTGTAAAAGATGGGGTTCTAGAACTTCGTGGATATAACGCTGCGCGTTCATGTTACCTCTGATGAAGATTAAAGGTGACCTGGAGCCATAAGCTATAGCACCCCAAACCATAACTCCAACAGTGTGATGAACATGTCTTTCAACAAAAAACTGTGGATTCCTCCTTTCACCACGTCGCCTTCTAACCCTGGCACGACCATCGTGCATGCCTAAACAAAATCGACACTCGTCACTAAAGACAATACTGTTCCATTCCTGATCCCAGAGTGACCGTTATCTGCACCACTCAAGGCGATTAGGTCGGTGTTCTCGAGTTAAAGGGAGGACCCAGTGTGGCCGGTATGAAAACAAGCCAAAACTTCTCATTCGTCGGTAAACACTTCGCATGCCAATAGGACTTCCGTGTTCTGCAAACCATTAATTTGCAATGGACCTGGTAGTGGAGAAACGGTCCCTTAAGGCCAATAATCTTAGGCGGCGATCTTCACGGTCTGTTGTTCTACGGCGGCGTCCAGTGCCCCTTGCTCTTTGCGTACGGCCTTCTCGAAGCCATGCCTGACAACACCTAACCACAGTGTCTACACTTCTTTGCACTCTAACTGCAATTGCCAGAAAAGAAAGTCCAGCTTCCCGAAGTCCCACTATACGGCCCCTATCAAACTCACTAAGTTGACGAAATCGTACAGGTCTCCGTACTCTAGGCATCGTAACCGATCGTAAAGGATGTCAAGAACCAAAATCCGCCAACGTTGATTCTTTACTGCGGCTGAAATATTCATTTTTAGAGCGTTAGTGAATTAAAAAAAAGCACTATAAAAACTGGAATGTCCAACTGATAAGGCTGAAAATTTTTTCACTTGTTATTTACAGTAAGATAAATACATTCACCAACTTTTATTAAAATAAAACCATTTAAACTGGGTGTTCGGATTTATATGTCACTTAGTATATCGTACATTGCGATATTAGGACCCCTTGTTGTACGATATTAGGCCGTACGATACTTTTAGGTTAGAGTAATGAAACACAATATTTGAAATAAGTTATATTATATTCTGAATGATGTACAACGAAGAACGGAGTTTATAAATAACAGGTACAGAGAAATTAAAATGTTTCACTTACCGCTCTTAAAAAAAAAACACAAATATCGGACACTGTTAAAATCCGTGTTCTACCAAATGCACCTTTTTCAGCACTAGTGATATCAACTTGTTCACAGAGCTACTGGGCTTAACGTGACATATTTTGTCGGTTTCCCGGAACTAAAATTACAGAATACTACGGTCTAATCATATTACTAAAAGAAAAAGCACACTGTGAGATATTTGGGCACTTTCCTTTACTGTATAACCGGATACTTGATTCAAAACTGTCACATTATACTCTTGAAGTTTTTTAGATGCGTGTCTATTTTTTCATCTAGCCTGGAGCCGCTACCAGCGTGATGAGTTCTAACTCCTGGACTTCCCACTCTGCCAAGATTGTAAACTCTCAACAACCTGTACTCACTTTATCTAGTATCACAGGAATATATACTAAGTGACATATAAATCCGAACACCCAGTTTAAATGGTTTTATTTTAATAAAAGTTGGTGAATGTATTTATCTTACTGTAAATAACAAGTGTAAAAATGTTCAGCCTTATCAGTTGGACATTCCTGTTTTTATACTGCTTTTTTTTAATTCACTAACGCTCTAAAAATGAATATTTCAGCCGCAGTAAAGAATCAACGTTGGCAGATTTTGGTTCTTGACATCCTTTACGATCGGTTACGATGCGTAGAGTACGGAGACCTGTACGATTTCGTCAACTTAGTGAGTTTGATAGGGGCCGTATAGTGGGACTTCGGGAAGCTGGACATTCTTTTCGGGCAATTGCAGTTAGAATGCAAAGAAGTGTAGACACTGTGGTTAGGTGTTGTCAAGCATAGCTTCGAGAAGGCCATACGCAAAGAGCAAGGGGCACTGGATGCCGCCGTAGAACAACAGACCGTGAAGATCGCCGCCTAAGATTATTGGCCTTAAGGGACCGTTTCTCCACTACCAGGTCCATTGCAAATGAATGGTTTGCAGAACACGGAAGACCTATTGGCATGCGAAGTGTTTACCGACGAATGAGAAGTTTTGGC